GGGGTAAGTTACACTTTAAATGTTCACTATGCCAGAACTTATTTGGCAAATGTGTTTCCATCTCTGCTTTTGTGCATTAACTCTTACAGGATGGGGGAAATTGGTCTTGGCGGAGGTTTGCACTCTCCGAGTGCTTCTAGTTTACTTAATGTTTTGCATTATTTTTATCAACCCTGTTTATCCATTAGCAAAATACTCTTGAGCTAGAGCACTGATCTTAATGAAAGTCACAGTATATAATCATTCGTTTCTGTTGAGTAAAAGAAAAGTATTTTTTTCATCTCTCTTTCGTCATTCGTCTCTCTTCAGACTAAAAGCAGACCACCTCCAGATGTCACTCACAAATTTATTTTATTTTTTCATCAAATGTGATATTGGATTTCTAAATTAAATTCTCATTATCTTATCATAATTGCATGGCTACTTTTACAACATTATTCTTTTGTTGGTTAAAATTTTAGATTTGTTCCCACAGARTACTGTAGTTTCCCTTTATATTAAAGTAAAACATGAACAAATATCACTAATAAAATTTATATCATATCTGATGTTGGGTTTCAAAATTAAAGCATAAAGTCCTTTAATTGTATCCTCCACTTTTTTTGTTGTCACATAAAAAAATAATCAAGACACTAGTGTAAAGTAAAACATTTTTTAAATCAAATTTAATGTTTTGATTTTTCACAGACTTGATTTGTTTAAACAGTCGATGAACTAAACTTGTCATCAAATATCAAACACATCAGTGTCAGAACTTAGAACTCAAAGCCAATAGTTTCACTTTGATTTGTTGAATAATTTTAATTTCACATTCATTTTAGTATATATGGAAGTAGTCATCTGATGACTTATTCAGCCTTAGATCTATTCATTGGCTCATGAGTCAATTAACAAATTTTACTAACAGAAGCTTATGTGAGGAGTTGCTGCAAATTCGTAAAAAAAAAAATCTAAAATATTTAGTGCTAGAAACTTAAGGTGGGATTGACTCAGGTACAACACTATGATGTTTTAGAATATTTATAAAACTGAGTTGTAAATCACTGAGGGAAAGCATTGGGCACGGTTTGGTTTTGACTTTCAAGTTTGTCAGTCGTGATGCGATTCAGAAGTCGGCTTTTATTTTGAAAGCATCTCAAGAGCAACACTACCGTAATAAAGCCGTATTTTTTTTAAATTGCAAGTAGGCAGGAAAACGTGAAGTTTAAATAAACAATAGATAAATAATTTAAACAAAATTTAGATAATTACATTGGGCTTTATTTTATCTACGTACAAAATATTTGATTTCTTCAACTTTCAAAGAAAAAGTTTTGAGTTTGAGTTTTTAGAATTGAGTCGCTGAAACCATTGATACATATTACATCAATGGCTGAAACTCCTTAGCAATGAACTGCTCCAGATGGAAAGC